ACAGGTTTAAAGAAACACATGAGAGTCCACACTGGAGAAAAGCCATTTGAATGCAACCTGTGTGGACAAAGTTTTAGCGAGAAATATTCTTTAAACAGACACAAGAGAATCCACATGGGACAGAAACCTTTTGTATGCGAGGACTGTGGACAAAGATTTAGTATGAATTTTTATTTAAAGTCACACATGAAAATCCACACAGGACAGAAACCTTTTGTGTGCGAGGACTGTGGGAAAAGATTTGGCCGGAAGAATACTTTAAACCAACACATGAGAGTTCACACAGGACAGAAACAATTTTTGTGTGAGGATTGTGGTCAAAGATTTAGCCGGAAGACTTCTTTAAACAGGCACATGAGAGTCCACACAGGACAGAAATCATTTGTATGTAAAGACTGTGGACATGGATGTAGCCATAAGGCAAATTTAACCAGACACACAAAAGTACAAGGAAGCTAAGCTCTCCTCTACAGTGAGATCAAAGTTTTAAAGTTAAATCTGCTGTTAAACACACGAGAACTCTCACAGGAGGGAAACAGTCTAACTCAGTGCTTCTCAATTATTTTCTGTTATGTCCTCCCCCCCCCCCCCCCCTAGGAAGAAGTAAACATTTTGTGCCCCCCCCCCCCAACTCTCCACCGCGACTAAATAGTGTCTGTAAAATTGTTATAAGTACACCTCTGCCTAACATTGTGTCCTTATTAACATTAAAGAAAAAAAGAATATAGATCAACTTACAAGGAAGAATAACTTTATTAACATTGCTTTTTTAGTCTATAACGAAAACAACTTAAAGTGCATCAATTTGCCTGGAAAAAAAAATTAAACTAAATATTTTTGACCACTTGATACTGAAAAATAGAATTAAAGATAATCAATAAATAATAAATTCAAATCGATCAGCAACATTTTAACTCAGGAGTGTTATATAAAACTCATCTGCTCACACAGACTCATGATCATGGTGCTGTTGTTTTGGCGCATTGTTTTTGTGCCATTAGTACTAAGCGTATTCTTAGTCTTGTGTATTCTTAGCTTAGTGAATGTAGTATATTCTTAGTTCATGACTTGGATCTTACTAATGTTTTTCTTTACAATTTGTGTTTTTGTTGGATGTAACTGGGACCCTGTGCACATAGTTTTGTCCCACCTCATGCATCACGTGTGGTGAGTATGACAAATAAATCTCTGTCTCTGACTCAAAGCTCTCAACAACCTAGCTCCATCTTGTATTACAGATCTTTTTATTCCATATTTTCCTAACAGAGCACTTGGCTCTCAGATTGCAGGTTTACTTGTGTTTCCTAGAGTTTCCAAAAGCAGAATGGGAGGAAGATCTTGCAGTTATCAGGCTCCTCTCTTGTGGAACCAACTTCCAGTTTCTGTCCGTGAGGCTGACACATTGTCCAGTTTTAAGACTGGGCTTAAGATAAATCCTATATCAATCGGAGCATCCCGGAGAAAACCCTAAAGGGCACGAGGAAAACATGACAGGTCCAAAGTGCAGTAGGGCCTTTATTGTTTTGTGCATTTGCGTCGTTTTGTTTCGCTCTGTGTATAATTTGTTTGAGAACTGATGTTTAATGGACTGAAGTGTTTTGGAAAAAAGATAAAACATTTTAACTAAGAAGAATCCCCCCAGAGGACCTGACTTAACCTGGTTAGATTTTTTTTACCTGGATTATTGACCGTGCATGTTCTACAAGAACCAGGACCGGACTCAGGGTGGACGGTCGTCTGTGTCACCTGCAGGACAGACAAACACAGAATAACTGGTTCAGATGTGGGAGGACAAAGTAGTTACAAGTTGTTTTTTGGTGTTTTTTTTTGTGGGGAAACGGAGCATCCCGGAGAAAACCCCAAAGAGCACGAGGAAAACATGTCGGGTCCAAAGTGCAACCCTATTTTTGTAGGGCTTGTATTGTTTTGTGTGTTTGTGCTTTGTTCCATTTTGATTTGTATGTAATTATGTAGACTGTTGTTCTACAGAACCAGAATGGATTGAAGCACAGAACCACGCCCAGATAAAAACCAGAGATTGCTGTATCACACCAAACTCAGGAAATGATGGAGATTAAAATTTCTGGCACCAAATTGTAGTGAACTTAATCTGGGGTCAAGACTAAGCCTAAGGTCAAAACTCTTGACCTTAAGAACCTTGTGGGACAGGAACTGTCATTTCATTGATTTGAATCCAGAAATACAGGTTCACCCATCCTGAGACTTTCTTTCTTGAAAATTCAAGTGGAAGAACACTCTCTGTTCTATTATCATTACTATTTTACAAATGTTGATAATCAAAGTGCCTTAGTTCAAACCATTTTAGATGTTGCAGTGAACTAATCAATTTTATTAACTGTGTAATGATTTTTAATTCTCATGCAAAGTTAGAATTCATGTTGAGGTCTGTTACAGATTTTTATGCATTTTCTGATTTCTGCCTTTGAATGAGCAAAGTGTGCGTTCCAGGGTCAGGAGTCGAAGCAGACATGCGTTGGAACAACTGTCCTGTTTATATCCTCTCAGACGTTAACAGGGGGGTTTTGGCACCTGTTTCTGAAACTCGCCAAAACAAAACTCTCTCTGTCTGTGAGAACATTTCTGATCTGTTCCATAACAATTCTTGCTGCATTCTAACCTTTTACGTCACAAAACACACCCCGTCTGGTCGGTTCTGGCCAATGGGAATACTCCCAGATGAACCGGGAAAAGGGCTCTTTAAAATGTCGGTACTTCCTGGTCTAATCAGTTCTGTGAGGGTTCTGTGAGGGTTCTACTCGGTTCTGTTGGAGTTCAGTTCTGTTCAGTTCTGTGCGGAGAAGCCCAGTTCTGGGAGCCGGGAAGATCCTGACATGACAACAGAGCTCTTCCGAGTTTCATGGGATTATAACATTTTCCACTGAGGTGAGGGACAGAGGGACAGAATCTCGCCGCTACTCCGGACGAGTAACAGCATCCTACGGAGACGCTGAATGGGTGCGTTAAACGGAATCTCGCCTGAGACATCTCCAGGTAAAAGAGTCGATTTCACCACCTAAGTGTACTGTAAGGAGAAGCTGAAGAAAGCCCGGAGAGTGCCGTTCTGTTCAACACTCCCTCAAACCCCATCTTTTACTCTTCTTTAAACTTCTTTCCCATCTTTAAACTCCTCTCTCAAGTAGAAATTCTTCCAGATATTTAGAAATGTCTGTGTAAAGTGCTCATCCACCGCCGTGTGGGTAAAAGATCATAATTGTACAGTTTTCATAAATGTCTGTGGTGAAGCAACGGAAAAATCATGGCCGTATGATTTTTCCTGATTGATTGCTTATGTTGTTATTTTCATAATTTGCCAAATTAATGTAAATGTTTGATGTTAAACTTTGATTCTGTAAATAAATGACCGCATTCATTTTGATGGGTCAAAGATAAATGACGTCTCACGTTTGCATTTCATTAAATTCAATGCACGTTTTATTCAGTTCAGAAAAATGAGGAATCCGTGTTAATTGATGAATATATCTGAGCATCTGTTCATCTACAAAATTGTCTAACCCTCCTGAAGGTTTTTCTTCCCTGTTGACCCTGAACAGCATGGGGGCCTGCATGTTTCTTGAAGGTTCCTCTCGTTATTTAGACTTTCAGTTGAACTTGGTGCTTGTTGGCATTCCGTATCGTTGACTTTGACAGAGGCTGGGACATTTATATTGACCGAGGAATCAGAGCCAGAACCTGAAACCGTGCTGAGACTCGCTCTGGGATCCTGTGGCGATTAATTCTTCTGAACATTTGGGTCAGAGTTTATACAGGGGTAATAAAAACTGGGACCTGGTTGAGTGCTATTTCTGCCTTCATGTCCAGAAGCTGAAGCAGGTGGGTCGCTGAGTTGGCATCTTTCCATTATGCCATGACTAAAGTCCACGTAAGACTGTTTATTGCAATTGGCAAGATGAGCCATCGTGATGAAGGGATGGTTCAAAGTTTAACGTGGAAGGATCCTTTTTGCTGGATTTACTTTCAACATGAGCTCAAGGAGATTCCAAAACTTCAAAATCTTCTAGCTCATCTCCATCTTTCATAGATGATTTCATGTTTTTGACTTGTGAAGTAAAATCCATCGATCTATGGTCTCTTTTAACAGGGTTCTTTCTCGGTTCTTTCGGTATACTCTGCAGAGGTATTGAACCACCAAACTGATATAGGCTCACACTTCTCCTGCTCGAAGTAATGATCAGTAGGAAATCCTTTTTCCAGTAAAGCAGCGTCAGGCATACCGCACATATCCACAATATCCTGCATGGTCTGGTATATACAGAAATGTGGAAACAACTCCTTCCCCAACAGCAGGAAGGCCAACGTACAGGCAAGAGGCCATACGTCAATCTGTTCGTTCAACTGAAGGCCCAGAAAAGCCTCTGGTGCTCTGAAATGGACGTTCTGTATTTCACCATAGTCGTCGTACTTTTTGACATCCTGAATGAAGGCAGCTACCCCATAGTCAATGAGTTTCACTTTAAAAGGCATTAATTTGTGATTTATCAGCATTATATTGTTGTGTTTTATATCACAATGAACTAATCCCATTTTGTTTCGGTGAACAGAGAGTGACAAGCAGTTGTGCAATTGGTCTGATTTCAGCCACCCTCAGAGGTCCCCTGAGCTTTAAAAAGGCATGTAAGTTTATATCCAACAACTCAGATGCTATACAGTAACAACCCTTATAAACGAAAGGAGTGAAGTCCTTCACTGTTTTGTTCAGGTTGCATTTGTTTTATAAGGCGTAAACTCCAAACTTCTTGATAGGCAGATTACTTATATTTTGCTTCTATTACTTTGATGGCTACACGCTCCGTGGTTCCATTTTTTTGGCACTTAACAAAGATACCGAATGTCCCCTTTCCAAGAACTTCTACACTGAAAACATCTGGTCCATCTCGAATAATAGCGCCTTTCTCTAAACAAAAATCTGTGTAATCACTCTCAGATGTTTCTGATGAAAAACTTTCTTCCTCTGGTGTGACAATTACTCTCGAGTATCTGCTTGAAGCTTCTGATGGTAGAAGTTCCTCCTCTGCAGTGAAATGAACACTAGAGTCAGAAGAACTTCGAAGACTCCCTGCTGAGTTCTCAGCTGTGAGTTCTGACCTGAAAAACTTGTTTCACGGCGTCTTCTGGAAGAATCCGATCAGCGGGGTTGACAGCTACCATTTTCTTAAGGAGGTCTTTGACGCCTTCTGCATCATTTACAGCTGGATCATTGAAACCAATGTCTCCACGGCTGAAGCCAACTTTTGTCCTCCCAAAGCTTCCCGAAGACGATTCAAATTCTTTTACGGTTTTCAGCATCCTTAACCTGTTCTGATTATCCTGCAGCTGTTTAAAAAAATGCTGTACTCGTTTCCATTTAGAAAGGAAGTCACCGTCGATCTGCTCTGACAGATCCACGACTGACTTTAAATAACTGTACTCACACTCCGTGCTGAAATAAAGTCACCCAAAGTGTAAAAAGGCCAGAGTACAGCCGAGTTCCCAGATATCAAGACCACAGTCCAGAGGTACGTCTAGAAAAACCTCTGGCGCTGTGTAACCACAGGTCTCCGGAAAAACACACATAGACAGATCTGAGGTTTTACACACAGAGCTAAAATCGATTAATCGCACACGTAAAGGCTGATCGTTGCGATTTACAATCATTACATTTCTCGGCGTGATGTTCCCGTGCACAAATCCTGCATTTTTCAGAGAAATCAAAGCCTTCAGCGTCTGTTCTGCTATTCCACGGATTTGAGACAGATTCAGAGGTTTCCACTTTCGCAAGCTCATCGCCTCCAACAAAGTCGCGTCCAATTTCTCAAAAGCAAAACAAAACAATTCTCCCCTTTTAAAATTCTCAATAGATTTAACGAAAAATCTATTGTCTGGACCCACACATCAGAGGGAATTTAAAATCTGCGCCTCTCTCTTGGCTTCATGCTGAAATTTGGGCTCAACGCACTCTTCTGTACTGTTTCTGCAGCACTGGACAATC